AAGAAGAAAAGCGAATGCAACCATGTTGCCAAGCGCAAGTCAGACGACTCCGACAACGAGGACGACTCCTCTGTTGGATCCATCAACATGATGGACAAGAAAATGGCTGCCGTTGACAAGGCGCTTGCCGAATTCGACTTCAATCATTCGGATGGAGAGATCTCCGTCTGAGGATTAGGCCAGGATGATGATTCAACGGAACCATGTTCCGATTTCTCATACCTAAGTGATGAAGATATCTCACTAAATAGTAAACAAGATTTGTTTGCAACTAATGAAGTCTACGGCAAATTAGATAATTGCCTAGCAACTACTCAACTAGACCCTGACGATCTGTTCAGCATCGTTAACTTCGTCCATGGCCAATCAACTCATCAACGTCGCAAGACAAGAGACCTCAAAACTATCGTCTATGTTAGATTTAACAGACGAGAGAAAGGGAAACAAAAACCCGTTACACTCTGTTGCTTACTGGATACAGGAGCATCCGGAACTTTAATTACTCAAACTCATGCTAAGAGTTTACTCATGAAGAATCATGGGGGCGTCCAAACATTACGGATTGCCTCTGTAAAAGAATTGAGACCCCGCACGAAGTGTAAGGGCACACTCATGATTCCCGAGTTCCGCGATAGTAGAATTATCGAATGGAATTTACACGTCACCAAGAACTTGGGGGCGCATGACATGATCATAGGTCAAGACACTCTCTACGACCTAAGAATCAAGTTTGATTTCACTACCATGTCAATGGAGTGGAACAGCATATTTTTCCCTGCGAAAGATGGCAATACCGATGGAGAAGAGAACTTCTCCATTCCTGATCCTGCAGCTGTCAACGACAGTGCAGATAGTCTTAAGAAGACTCTTGATGCGACATACGAACAAACTGACTTAAGGCAGATGTGCCGGAGTCGAAATCAGTTAAATAAGGGAGAGCAAGAACTGCCTCGTGCCTTCTCAACCAAGTGCTCCGACCCAGTCGAGGGTACTATGGGAGAGTTGCAAATGGACGACTACGAAGTAGAACTTCGTCCCGACGCTAAATCCTATTATACTAGGGCTCACCCTACTCCACGTGTCCATACCAACACTCTCAAGACAGAGGTTGAACGTCTCTGCAAGGCAGGAGTACTCAAAGAGATAAACTGTTCCGAGTGGACGGCACCAACTCTCCTCATTCCCAAGAAAGACGGATCTGTACGATTCATCTCTGAATTCCGGGACATGCTCTTGAATCTAGATGGATTCAAGTACGCTACTAGTCTAGACCTGAACATGGGACACTATCACATCGAGCTGTCACCTCACTCGAAGCAACACTGTACCATCGTACTCCCGAGGGGAAAGCACGAGTACCAGAGGTTGCCAATGGGCCTATGTAATAGTCCCGACATCTTCCAAAGGAAGATGAAAACACGCATGCATGACTTAGGAAATGTCCGTGCATACATTGATGATCAACTCATCCTAACTGACGACGATCTGGTGGATCACGTTGAATAGTTAGATGAATTTTTCCAAAGACTTCAAGAAGTCGGATTTAAAATCAACACTACCAAGGCCTTCTTGAAAGGAAGAACTTGAGTATCTAGACCATTGGACTACTCGAGAAGGAATCCAACCTTTAACTAAAAAGATAATAGATGCGATCCAGCTATCGCTCTTCCTACCAACAGGAAGGAACTTCGTGGATTCATTGGACCAATGAACTACCAAGGTCTGCTCCAAGACAGCAGACAGAGTAACCATCGTTCTGAAACAGACGTGGGTTACCCAGTATCCATGACCGACCAAGGTTGTCATGGACAGAGAACGTGAGTCCCGCGCAGAGGTCGAGAAGACTCTCCGGGATGAACATGAACTTCGTCGCAAGTTCACGCACGTCAATCGTGACAAGATTCACCACATCCGTTTCAAAGCAAACTGGAAGTACATTAAGGAACGTCGCCAACGACTTATCCAGAAAAACACCGATAGGGAGAACACGACACGTGTCCCTCATCAACACAATGTCAACGATACTATGATGATTCATCAATATCAGAACCGCTAGCACGGTCAGCCAACGCACAAAGGTCCTTACCACACAGACCGAGTCAATAACAATGGCACTGTACGGCTCCGACATGCTACCGCCAGTAGCGGCACAGTCTACCAAACTTGGAACATAAGGTATATACACCCATACAAGGCCTGATCCCCTTGTAGGATTGCCATCGTGCGACACACATGTCTACATCCAATCTCCGGAGAGTGCCCCGCACTTTAATTCATATGTTCTCCTTGTCCGACTGATGTCGTGCCTTCCGTGACCCTTGTCAGGGGGCGAATGCAATACACGGCTCTTAGCCTTATTCGCGACTCGATCCTAGATAGGGTTTGAGTTCGACTCATGACTGAGTCTTTCGTGAATAGTCATTGAGACAGGGTTCTCATGACCGCTAGTCATACTAGGTCGATGGTGAAACATCGCGCTAGATATTTAGCTGGCGTGGAGAGATTCCACGCTACTAGATAAATGCTAGACGAATCTTCCACGTGTCCTTTTTTTGGATCGTGGAGTGAGTAGGATTGCTACCACAACCTACTCTATCACACTCTACAGTCTCCCGCGGGAGTTCAGATCTACGATCCTTTGATTGTGGATCTCTCTCGTTTATTAGTTTTCATAGCTTTCTAATCCTCTCATAACTTTCATTCTCTCAAACTCAAAACACTCGAAAGATCTTTACACTAGCTTTTAGCGTAGTGCAGATTGAATGCTCTAAATAGATACATTATAAGGAGCGAGGGGGGCGAAGCTAGGCATAGTAGTGGCTGCGGTGGTGGGTGGCTGTTGTGGTGGGCGTACGGGAGAGCAATGAGGACGCGAGCAGGGCAAAAAAGGGGGGGCAGGGGAGGGGGGTGCATGGAGGAAAACCAGAAAGGAGAAGGCAGCAAAATTAGCGGAAGAGTGCAAGTGCACCATCGGCATCCCAGAGAGAACGACGGTAGCTCATTGTGCCAGCAGGGACACGAGAGCCACGCATGCAGAGGTGGCGGGCCCGAAGAATAGCTAGGCTGAGCCGAGCATTATCGTAGCCACGCACCACTGAGTAAGAATGTTCCCACTTTGCAGCGAGCAAAGCGGAAATACGTTTGGCGAGTGCCTCAGCTTCGGCCCCAAGGAGACCATCAGCAGAGACAACAAACGGTTAAAGTGGCGGCGTTGGGAAAGACAGGCGTCGAGATACTTGCGTTTCTTGTCATGTTCGCCATTGCGAAGGACCTTGTCAGGATCCTTGCTACAGTGAAAAGCAGGATCAAGATTGATGACACGAACATCAATTATGCCGTCAGTTCCGCGTTGCCAGAGGCCACGGATAAGGAGATCACCTCGTTCCTCGGATGGGGTGAGAACTACAGGAGAGTCGCTGGAAGGCGAAGTATCCGTAGCTGCAGAGCGACTAAGTTGGATACGGGGTTCGTTGCGAACTGCAGATGGGATGAATGCATTGGCAGCGAGATCACCGAGTTCATCACGCACTTCATTGTGGCGTTGGAGAACCAGGCCGTCCTTGGTACAGGAAAGGGCATGAGTGACACTGAAGCGCTCTCCACAGCCATCACAGTGGCTGGAAATATCAGAGGGGCTCCGATCGTAGTGCAAGTGCAAAGCATCGCGGAATTCCTGGGCAGCGAGAACAGTGCCGGAACCACAGGAAGCCAGGGGCCAGTCTCCGGGGCGTACTGGTACGGTAGAGATTGGTCGCAATGATTGCATCTACCTTCAGTTTCGTGATCGGCAGTTCGTGAATCGTGAGGAAGGAAGTTGGTTCCTCCGAGTTCTTGAGTTCTTCCCCCTGGCTGCTTCACGTTTCCCTTTTTGATCCAAAACAGCTTCCAAAACTAATAATCCTTTTAATCGCAGGAATGATCAATCAAATCCAATCAAAAGCGGGTACGGACACACGTCAGTGGCTCAGACGATTGTCATCACATTCGCATCTCGCAACACGCAACATCGTTTTCAACGAGGACTGGAGCAACGAAGGACACACTGCCGTTTGTTGACAACATGATGAAGCCTTTCAATCTACCTACTGGTCTCTTTGCTGCACTGGCAGCAATGGCAGTCCCTCTAGTATCGATCGATGCCTTTTTTGTCCCAACACCAACATCATTATGTTCACGACAGACTGCAATTCCTCCCCGAGTACAAAGACCATCTTCACTTCCTCCTTCCAACGATCATGGTGCTATGAATGACTACATACCATCTTCCTCTGTCGCTGTCATGATGAGCCAAGAAAACAAACGCATCTTGATTGAAGAATTGGGATATCGGCGGAAGGAAGCAGAACGACTCCGCTTGGACTTGGTGCCCGACATTGTCCAGCAGCGCATTAGATGCCCAACGGAAGGTATCCCGGAAGAGTGGTGCTCTACAGGAACACAGCATCTCCATGCGGGATACAATCAAGCTCCATCATACTATGGGCAACCTGCAAAGTATGCTCCATGGAGTCCACAACCACCCGGTCCTCCACCCAATCTTGGATATGGACCTCCGACGAATCATCGTGGATACGGGCCTCCACCGGACCATCGTGGATATGGATACCAAGGACCTCCTCCAAATCAGCAAGGAGGATATGGACCTCCGCCTGAACAGAATCGTGGATAGGCGTCCACCTAAACAGAAACGTGGATATGAGCCCAGAACAAGAACTTACCCAAGAATGTCGAAAGATGCAACAGCTGGAACAAGGGTCTCAATATCCCCTCAAGGTGTCATTGATTGGAATGAGCCTCATTCTGTTTGGAAAGGGCTTTGGCGATGCTTTGATTACCATTATCAAAGTCAACATGGACTTTCCCGGGGCGTCTCTGACGGAGCAATTCTTGGTTGCCAGTGTTAGGGATTGATATTCTTTGTATTGTACTGGGTGGGACGCTGGGTTGCTGGACCTGGAAGACGATGAAATAGTGTTGGAAAGAAGAGAAAGCCGTCAAACAATCTACTGCCTTGTAGTCACTGGAAATATGCCTGGATTAGCATTATTCTACCGTACGAGGTGTGAAGGCGCAAAATGTCTTCTTGGAAATCTCACTCTTGCTCTCCATGCAAGGTGCGAAAGCAGCAGTGTGACATAGAGCCTCTCTACAGGAACTCCAGGATGCGATAAACAACATGCTTGAGAGACAGAAGTGGCAGGCTAGGGTGTGATGGATTGATCTCGGCAAGGTCGTTAATACTTGCTCGTCGGAGAATTGGTAGTAGGTCATCTTTGTCCTTGATTCAGTCCTGGCTAACCGAATTGGTAAAGATGCAGTCGTCGTCCTCATCCAGATAGGAGCAGTGGCAGTGGTCAGAGTGGTCGCTGTTGAGACAGGTATCAGGGGTGTGTCATAAGGATGCCAGGGATCCGCAATGAAGTACATGGAGTGCGCAATGGTAAGACACGTAATGGGGGAAGACTCGGACAGAAAACGAAAGTAAAAATGGAAGGGGGGAATCGGAAAGCCCAGCACAGAGGCTGGATCTGCTGCGTCAGCTGGGTCAAAACTGAGTGCATTTAAACAACAGACAGGCCCAATGGAAGCGGTTGGTGCCTGGTGCCTCTACAAACCTGAGCCAAACAGATCAAAGGTGCAGTATACATGTAGTAAATGAGCAACATAACCTGCCATTTGACCTCTCAACAGGAACTCCAGGATGTGATAAACAACATGCCAGCTAGCTAGAGAGAAAGAAGTGGCAGTGCAGCCTAGCCAATGGTCCATGCTTCGTGTTACATCGCCTTCAGCTTTTACTGCAAATCCAAACTTGTATCGAATCGAAGCCTCGCTGACTCGACTCGACTCGACTCGACTCGAAGATTTAGTAAAACTCAAATCTCCGTCAATGAAATGCTTATTATTTTTATTATCCAGAACGTCATCAAAGACCGCTCCACTTTCAATGACTTGAGGAGGGTGAAGGGCGCTTTGCTGCTTGCTGCTTGCTGCTTGCTGCTTGCTGCTTGTGCTATTTTTTATCATGAAGTCCCTCAATCTACCTAGTGTCCTTGCTGGGTCGTTGGCGGCAGTAGCAGCTCTCCCTCCAGTATCAATCGATGCATTTATTGTTCCCAAAACAACATCAGTGTGCTTGCCACAGACTGCAATTTCCCGAGTGCATAGACCATGGATACTTCCAGCTACAAACGATGGAACAAATGATGACGACGATGACGGCGTTTCTCGAGATACGACCGAGTCTATCACATCGTCACTTCGTCCTTCCAACGATATTGGTGCCACCAATGACTCTATACAATCTTCCTCTGTCGCTACCATGATGAGTCAAGAAAACAAACGTATCTTGATTGAAGAATTGGGGTATCGGCGGAAGGACGCAGAACGACTTCGATTGGAATTGGTGTCCTCCATTGTCGAGAAGCGGCTAAAATGCCCAACAGAAGGTATTCCAGAAGAGTGGTGCCGATCAGAACAAGAACTCACCCGAGAGTCTCGAATGATGCAACGGCTCGAACAAGAGTCTCAATATCCCCTCAAGTTGCCATTGATTGGAATTAGCCTCATTCTGTTTGGCAAAGGCTTTGGTGATGCTTTGATTACCATTATCAAAGTCAACATGGACTTTCCTGGGGCGTCTCTGGCCGAACAATTCTTGGGTGTGCCAGTGTTAGGGATTGATATGCTTTGCGTTGTACTAGGAGGGGCCTTGGGTTGGTGGACCTGGAAGACGATGAAATAATGTGGGAACAAAGAGAAAGCTGTCAAACAATCTACTGCCTTGTAACCACTGGAAATATGCCTGGAGCAGGATTATAGTCTAGTAGAAGGATGCGAAATGCGCAAAATGTCTTCTTTGAAATCTCGCTCTTGCTCTCTGTTCAAGGTGCGACAGAAGCAATGTGACATAGACTCTCAACGCATCCACCTGCCTAACATCCATCCTCGATTGATGAGGGAGATTGCACAAGCACGAGTTTATCATGTACTCACCCGAAATTTTACATCTTTACATACCAACTGGCCTGTGACTTTCCAGACCCGTTTGGTGTAGCAAGTTGATCAATTGATGAACTTATCGAAGTGACATATTGTAGTCAGAAGCGCCGCCATTGCCTCCTCCTTTTTCGTGATTGTCAGTGCTGGGAGCAATGTTCCCGAGGTTCTTGAGCTGCCTAGCTATTACATGTACGGGTAGCTATGGGTGGGCATCGGTACCGTACCTTTTTAAAAAGAAACCTCATGAGTCGAGTCACGTGCTGGAGGAGGCACTTGCATCATAATATTCAAAAACTATCGCGCGTGTTGCCTTCAGAAGTGACCCTCCTTCAACCAAATTTTGCCACATTATTGCAACTCAATTGCTTCTGGGGGAGCTTCCAGCTTTTCCTCGCTGTTGATGGCTGATGCGGACCAACGCACCTTTCGGGAGTTGGCTGCTTCCTTTACAAAATTATGACACCGGACATGCGATCCAACGACCAGAACGAGCTTATCGGTATGCGACTGTCAGGTTTTGTCCTGAATCACAGGGATTGGTGGTGCCGTTGTGCCGTTGCCTGCAAGGATGGTTCCAGAGAACCACACATGTATGTGATGGTCGTACCGTAGTCTGAAGGCCCACATGCACAGCTGCTGGCTAGCTGGGGCCTGCAGGATTGGCTCTTAAATTATTTCTGTATCTACAGCAGAGCTGAGAAGGGATTGATTGAATCATTCTAGCTAGCTAGCATTCGATGCGACTCCCCAAGCTATTTATTCCGCTTTGGCGCTGCGAGTGACAGTCACTCCACACCCCAAACCTATCTGTGAAACAACAGCGGTTGATGAGAAGGGTAACCTGGATCTGGATACGACTGTACCGTATCAAAAAGGCTTCAGTGGGAATCGAATCCAAGGACGTAGCTACAAGGAAGCTACTTGGGTGCTGCGTACTGCGAAGCCATTATTTGGATACCGGTAGCCTTGTAGAGGTGCCGGTTGGGAAGTTCGGGGCGGGGACACGTGGGACTTCCTTTTGTATAGTGCGGTACAGTACCAGAACAGCAGAGCAGCTCCAGCCAGCGTACGGTACCATACTGTACTGTACATGTACAAAGCGCTGTGTGGATGTTTTCGGTGGCCGTCTATTCACCCGTCGCGAACACTCCCAATTTTAAAAAAGGCCACGACAGATCAAGGAGTTCCGTGTGTGACAAAGACTACAGCTGTGCTGGCATCACCTGCTGAGTACAGTCTAAAAACTAATCTATGGTGAGTGCAGGAATGGTCTCAAATGGGGGCTGTGGGCTCACCAAAGATAGTACGTCTGCAGTTTGAATGGCAGTTTGCCTAATTACACAAGCCAGTAACTGTTCCAACTGATGTACATAAGTATCTCTGGTCTCATTGATATTTATTTTACATGGTAAAGCTCTACAGTAAAAGAGTACAATAAATTGTTATTCTAGTAAAGGTACACATGACTCAGACAGAGCTGAGCTCAGATTGGAGCTCAATCTTGGTAGCTAGTGATTCAGCTAGCTAGCTAGTAGCAGAGGACGTACAAGAAAACAGATAGAATGGTTTGCATGTATTCATCTAGCTAGCTAGCTATTAATAGCTAGCTGGTATACAACCATGCTAATAGGCAATGTCAAACAATAGTATTATTGTTGCTGCTAGACTGAGAGCAACATGAGCAGTAGCATCAGCAGCAACAACAAAAATAGAAGAAGAGTAGAGGAAAAGTACTTGAGAAAGCTCTCTAATTCTTTTTGCAAAAAAGATTTATGTGAAAATTGCAAGCAGCAAAAATGCATTGCCACATTGTAGTCACCTCAAACCTCAAACCTCAAAGCTCAAAGACAACACAACACGAAAACACACTATCACCAGGAATCCAACTTGCAACCTCAGGCCTAGACCAGTCTGACACTCACCTGAATTGCTGGCTTAATTTGAAACATGCTTGTATAAATAGCTTGCAAGGCCATGTTACTGTCAAACCACCAAAGCCAACATGCCAGTACATATCAATGCTGCCAGTACTGCCACAGCTGCCAGTACTGCCACAACTGCCAGTATCAATGCTGGCAGCAGCCACAAACCAAATCAGAGGGCATACACTGTCAATAGACAACTACTATCATAGAGGCATAGTAATTCTCATATACTAATACTATTAGCTGGATACTAGGACTTACAAATCAAGATCATTTTCGGTGCGCTTGCGTTTCTTGCTGTCTGCTACAAATGGAGATGGTGGAACCACTTCGGCGGCTGCCGGCTGAGAGTTGCTTGTACACATGTTTTCCAACAATTTGGTTTGATATTCCAGCTGCTTACTTTGTTGCTCTTGTAGTTCTCTCATTTGCTGATTATGATTTTGAACTTCTCGGAGTAGCTGGGATTGTAATTGCAAAAGCTGATTGACAAAAAAGTTGATCTCGGCTTTATGATTCATAGCTTGACGGCTGATTCGATGCGAAATGGGTACTTCTTATTGTTGGTTCAGTCGAATTCGAATATGATGCAATAGTGCGGTCTGGTTATCCAGTGTAGATTGTTGGGCCCCAACGACAGAATATATTTTCTTGCATTCCTCCTCAATGCGGTAGAATGACCGATCCATCGATGCGCCCGGAGAGATCACCTGAGATGGGAGAGATAATGCTCGTTGTTGGCCCATTCCAATTCGAATATGGTGTAACAATGCTGTCTGATTATCCAGTGTACCTTGCTGAGCCACAACAGCAGAATAAATCTTCCGGCATTCCTCGCTGCATGGATGATCGGTAGATCCTGGAGAAGGAAACATCACCTCGGCTTGAAGTGATGGAAATGTCAATAGCAATTGGAAAGAGCCAATGCTGTCAACATCATTATTGATAGTCAATGGTGAATCAAGAGCAGCAACAGCAATACCGGTACTGAAAGGGAATGAATCTCCTTCTGGTACCGGTAGTGAGGCCATGTGGTGATGATTGCAGCAGCTAGTGCTTGTATGGTGCGGTTGTGAGTAGTGCTAGTATGGTGTGGTAGCGAGTAGCGAGTAGAAGAATCTTGACTTCCATTTTGTGCTGATGGCTGATGGCTGGTGGACTGGGCTGACAATTGTTGTTGGTTGGTTGGTGCATGGTGATAGCTGATTGAGTGCTGCTGCTCTTGTATGGTCAAAGGAATGCAGCTTTTTTTAAAAATGTGAGAGACAGTGAGATTTTGTTAATTAAAATTATTTCTATAGTGTTTCAGTACCAGTCTCATCTGAGATCAGGATGGGTCTCAGGCCCCCAGTATGGACTCAGGTACAGGAGTTACAGTACCGGTACCGGTACCTGCCACCGAAATAGCTTTTCCCATTTACCACTGCAACAATGTACATTGTTATTGTTTACAGTGGTCGCAACTGTCATGGCGAGCCAAATTCCCAGTGTCTGCAGCTGGCTGCTGGGGGCCATGTCAGCGGGGCTCTCCGGCATGGTAATCCTCTTCCTCCTCCGACAAAGAATGCAAATTTGCATCCTGCCTTCGATCTCTCATAAAACGCTTCCTCGGAGCTTGAAAAGAATGAACATGAAATCGTCGCTCTTGGCTTTGCTGCTTGTCGCTCTCTGCCAATCGTCAACGGCGATTGTGCTGTCGCCTGGAGGCAAGTGCCGCGTTCTGGGTTTCTTTCCGACCGAGACAACCCCCGAAGACCCCGCACCCTTCACTCGATGGACTCAAAAAGAAGTTAAACGTGTCAGCCGCTCGATGATGGCGGCTGCAAAGCTGGCTTTGGAACACTTTCATGCTCGTGATACAACTCTTGTGAAGGAGTTGGCTGATCTTCCCAAGGAATGCAATGTCGAGCTCGACTTGGATGTCATTGCAGATCACCTCACTACGAAACGAGCAGGACAAATCATGGTTGAAGAAGCCAGTGAACTATGTGCTTTTCTTGGCACTTACGATCCAGACGTAGCCAGGGCCATGCAACCCACCAGTGTCGCTTTGGATCTACCTCAGGTAATCTTCTACACGCTTGACCAGTTTCTCACAAGCAGCATACGCCCCTCTGCAATTGGCCTTCCCCCCACCGTAAGAATTGCAGCAACAACTCCATGTGAAAGCCGTTCTGGCTTCGACTCGACTCAACTCACTGACTGCTTCTCTTGATGCAACTGAATAGGTTCTTCCCCATACTCGAGGCCTTGCGGAGTACCTCAATGCCGGGCAGGTCATTGCCCCCCGTCAGTTCATGCAGTTGGTGTACAAAGAAGCATACGGTACACGAGCAGCTACTTTTCTCAGTGCTTTGAAGAGGATGCTGCCCAGAAGTTTGGAATGAAATCCGAAAAATATCAAGATGACCATCTCGGAATCATCCCTACTATGACTCCCGAAGAGTTGCAGCGCAAGGTTTTGAAAGAAGTGCATGACTCCGGGGTCAAGACAATCTTCTTGAACAAGATCGATTCAAGGTCACTCAATTTGACTGCGCACATTCTCGCAGACTATGGTATGAGAAGACGTGTCCGTGGTGTCTGATCTATTATTGTGTTGGTGGTCTGAGTCGCACTGACCTCGTCATTGCATTCTCATGCTTGTGTGAACCTTTAGACATGCTATCCGGCGAATATCTCTACATCTTCCAACCTCAAGCTGTCCCTACCGATGCCGTTGGCACTATCTTTGGCGGGCTCAAGATTGATTCACTACGGCAGAGCCAAATCTTGCAGGAGTGTCGGTCAAGAACCTCATTCCTGATGGAGCCAACACAGTGTATCTCGACAGTGGCAGTTCAATCCGAGCTGTCATGAACCAGGACATGATTGTCCGCAAGCGGCTATCTCCCAGACCAATCGAGATGGCCACCAATGTTGGAAGCACCAAGCTTACCCAAGAAGGTGACACCCCTTACGGCAATGGTTATTCCAATCCAGGAGGCATCGCCAATATCAATGCTTTGTCTCTTGTTGTGGATGACTGCGTCAGGGCACAGGATGGATCCTATGTCCTCATGGACTCAAGAGTCGTAGTCGACGACGCCATCTACCACTACCGACCAACTGGGATCCATACCAGGTATGGAAGGAACGCCAAAGGTCTGTATG